ACGAACAACTGGATAAAAAATCAAAATTATTGACCGTCCCGTTTCAACAGTATAAACAGTTAAAACTGAAAAATTGGAAGAATCATGTAGTAGATATGAGTGTAGTGTAAGAGATGTGGTAACACAGCGCCCCAAACTATAATCTTTCGAAACTATTTTATATTATGTATTAATCGTAAGTGTATTCTATAGAACAATATTGCATCAAGATACGTCATTGTAATAATTGAGTGCTGGTTAGGTTAATAAAATATAAACGTGCTCTCGTTTTGATAATGACGGACGTTATCAACCGTCGCCGGGAATCGCGTACACTTCGAGACGCTCGACTTGTCGTCATCTCCCGCATCTTTAGGCCAATTATTGTTAAATATTGTGGATTCCCTCGGGGTCCAGTTATCGTGCACGCGAATTTGTCAAAGCATGGGTGATGTCACGACCGTTGACACAGCCGGCATAAATTTTGCCGTACATACGCAGGCGACCTTACGCTAAACGTTTCATTGGAAAATTGCTCATGCATATTGCACACACCGTGCGCTTACATGTTTTTACGTAAGCAGCAGCGCGAGGCGACCTTTAATATGCATCAGAGCGCCATACGCAAACTAACGTGTCCAACGGAATTCGTTATTGATACCGATGTAACTTTAACGTGCGGCGCCGCGTAAGATCTTACTTTTCCATAACTGCGCGAGGACACAGCGAACGGGGCGCGACAGCGCTTCGAGAACGAAATGAAAAAAAACCAGAGAGAGGGAGAGAGAGAAAGAGAGGAGAGAGAGAGAGAGCTTTGATCGCACCGGCGAGCGGTCGGAAGGCGGGCGATAGTAAAATCTAGACTCGTCCGTCGTTAACGAGACACGGATACGATTACAAGGGGATAACGACCGCCCTTGGAAAAACATCGAGGGGAGGGAGAGGGGGAGGAGACCAGACCGCTGGACATCGCGCGGCGCGCGCGGTCTTTTATCACCGGCCGCGCTGATAATGCGGCCGTTGTTAACGCGGCCGAATCCAATATCTGGCCGGCAAATTGGCAGCGGAGCGGAGGAGGGCGACGAGACGCGGAGGGCCGAGAAACGCCGGGGAAAACGGGGAAAAGCCGTCCGCAAACAGTTGTTATTAATAATATGCAATATGCCGTATCTGCGCGTATAAGCTCCGCGATATCCGGCCGCCGCCACTTACGGCGTGCGCACAGGAGGAGAAGCGGCTTGCCCGCCCGGCGCTGCCGCGCTTCGCTAATGAGGTAGGAATTAATTAATCGGGACCTGTGTGCGAGCGAGCGGGGATGGTGGGAGGAAGAGAGCGAAGTACAGGGAGGATGATCCCGGATAGCCCCCCTGAGCCGGGGAGATGCCGCTAACGTACGAGTTTCGTCAGGGATTCGCCGCGCTCTTTCTTGCGGATCCTCGACGGAGCTTCAGCTTCCAGCCTCATCGCTGATCGCGATGTACATTGAACGATAATAGAGTCGAGCTCGTAATTTGTGATACGAGATCGGAGGCTCGCGGGACAATACGAGAAATATAGATTTAAACAATACAATTCGATCTATCGATTAATAATTTGCAAAAAGATAGACGTATGCTTGGAACGAGGGAGGATGTAGAGGCGCACAAAGTACGCGTGTAAACGATCAACTTCTTCTAGACTTCTTCATTTTACAATTAGTGTTACACCGGGTGATTCTACGCGCGAGTTCTATTTTATTATTTTACTTCAGTTTATAATTTCATTAATTTCCTCCCTGTGCCCCTTTTGCTTCGCCGAGCTGCTCAGTTTGGTTGCCGATAAGCCTGTACCCAAATAAGGGAAACTCGGGACTCGCGCTTGACTCGCGGCCGCGCGACGGGCACTCGAGTAATTTTTCCTTCGACGCGCGAGTTCCATTCTGCTGTTTTACTTTAGTTTATAATTTCATTAATTTTCTTCGTACCCCTTTTACTCCACGGAGCTGATCAGTAAAGTTCGCACTTAAGTAAGGGAAACTAGGGACCCGCGCTTGATTCGCGGCAAGTAACTCACTACCGCGCAACGAGCGCTCGAGTAATTTTTCCCTCGACGCGCGAGTTCCATTTTGCTA